GAGAGAGGGATGAAGTAGTGGTCAAACACTATTTCGATCGATTCGTCTGATGCAGTCAAAAAGCTTGACTAAGATCCATAACAGATCCGGATGCTGTTGCACTGGTCAACTCTATCAACTGTTCCAGCTATGCAGTAGCTTGTACATTTTGCGCAGACATTCGAGTTGGATACCCTCGACCTTTGGATAGGAAACATCGCACTCATTTTGAAAGAAGGGCTTAACCTTGTGTATTCGTACGGGATAATTTATTCAGTGGCTTTTTATGCTAGAAAATTCAATATAACCTTAGTACCAAGCAAAGATACACTGAACTACTTTATGTGAGCTAAAAATCTCGGTTACTTCTTGTGTTGGATGCAACGCGATTGCATTGCAGAATTCTTACTGCTTTCAATTAGGATAAACCCATGCGTTCCCGTGAACCGCATGCATGCATGTTTGGCTCCATTTTTAGCTCATGATTTATTTTTAATCTGAGTTTTCACATCCACGGTTGCCCCAACTGATAAACGCTACAGAATATCTGGACTATTGTGCTCATTTAAACACCACGGAACATTCAAATACCATAGAACAATAAACAACACCGTATTCTGCCGCAAACGCCTGATGTTCTGATTTGTTCTCTCATGGGCTCAGATAAGAATCGAATTTTGTCTTCCACGTGCAACCTGGGGTTGCTTCGAGGGAGATCACAATCATTCACGCAAAATGCAGAGTTCTCTTCGAAGAACGCCTGTATCGCTTGAGTGCATTTGAACTGTCTCGTTCATGCAAATAAATAGTATCCAACGCCATGCACTTCGGTCACCGTTTCTCCGTTCGGTTGGTGGCACCGGTCCCTGACTTCATGCGTGTGTGTGTTTGATTTTTATCAATATTTATCCAAATTTAGCTTTCCCTCGCCTAGCGCCCTTTGACGGTTGACTCGATTTGAAAAGTAGTGTAAAAACCTTTTTTCGGTGAATCCAAAAAATTTCAATGACAAATGATTGTAAAACTAGTGCGAGTGACTCCTGTGAGTAATAGTGGACTGCAGGGATGCAGAACGTGAGTAGATAATACCGATTTCGGGGTGAACAGTTTTATTCCTAAATCGGTATCAATAGACAAGATCTGCAAGTTGTGATCCCTCTCTTGTGTTCATGCTCTCACTGCACTATTAGAATGCCTCACCAGGTTTTCATTTATTTCTGTCCGACAGTTTTCACGATAGAGTTACATCTGCCGTGCCTCTTTTTACCTCGATTTAATTTAACGTCTGGAAAAATGTCGAGTTTTCGGAGATACCCAAAACGGAAATCTGATTCATATATTGTAAGTTACCTTGGATTCTTGGAGACGATAAGTCAGCTACTGGGAGTTTGTTACAAGAATTATCTCCCGTTTCAGACGATTTTCTATCGCAGACACCCCTTCTAGCTTTAGCACAACCAAATGCGAAATGCAAACAAGCAGGATATTAGTGGATGATTGCTTCCTAGTTCAGTTCGTCTGTCGGGTAATGTGACGTTACAGGATCGCTGATGAAAGCCGCAGCTTCTTGAAATTGTGGGCAAGATTCGGATCAATGATGGACACACAATCAGTTGCATTTTTTACGATGGATTTTGCCGTTTACTAGCTCAGAAACAATTTTCTTTAAATTATCTCTTCCCTGTCAAAATAATTTCCTGTAAAACCTTGCTCGACTGAATACGTCTCTAATCAGACATCTAATTTTGTACAGACTTTCTTGTGATGAGCAGCAGACGGGGTAAACCCCATAGTCACGAGGATCTGCTGTTCTGTGATGGAAACCGGTAATCTGAACCCCGGGCCTTGGAGTGGTGAACCACAGAAGGCTCCAATAGATTAGGCGTGGTATTGAACCGAACGACAGCAAAGCTGCCTACCACAAGATTTGGGTGGCGGTGGTTGGACTCGAACCTCAAGCCGTAGGGTCCAAAGCGCACCAGTGACAGCGACTAAACCACTGCGCCACCACCACTGTAATGCGGCAGATCAATTGTTTAGGACACTCCGTAATTCATAAAACAAATCGGATAGGTTGTCACTCTGAATCACCGGTGGTTTGGTTGTGACATGTATTGGTTGGTTGATTTCCTCACCTAATCACCCTGTCCAGCGATTATGATCAGTTGTTATTTGTGTTTTTGTTGTCACACGGTGCCCTCCCCAACAACGGCGAGATTCGTTGGGACAGCCCAAAGGTGTTTTTTATTTTTGCTCTTGGGGGATATTCAGAGAATAGTATAACTCGTGGTTAAAATGCGAAGACTGGTATCCACCTCCGTTCTGAATGGTTCAGGTGAGGTCATTCGTTTCTGTCGCCTGTAAAAAAGAGAGATATTATTAGAAAGCGATTCTGATTCTGATTGCTTTTGTGTCCTGGCGTCCGATGTGTTTGTTATCCTTTTAACTTCGGGCCTGAATTCGGTACACTATTCGACGCGCCCAGGTTAGCAGTAGTTGTGCAGCTCTAATCGTACTCCTCACCGGGAAGTGCTTTGTATTCAGTTATCTCTGTTCGTTGTCGTCCTCATCGTCACATTCTGAGATGAACTTCTCTGCATTATCCAGTCCTTGTTTTTTCCTGAGAGAGTTCTCCCACGAGGTGCTCTTGGTAATACGACCAAGCGGTGTGCTGTGATATTTCATGGGATTGTTCTCTTTTGAGAGTTTTCTGTGATAAATTCGTTTCGGGACCCGGACGGTGTGTTTTGGTATAGCTGGGTGTGACCGCTTTGCAGGAGAACGGTTTAAATGTGCACGGAAAACACGCAAATAAATTTCCCGGTCATGTTTAGGATTTGCCAACCCAAACGCAGCTTTCTAGGACAGAATTATCCCCTTCTGTCAAGTGGAATTTTCCGATTTCCCTAGTCACCCTTAGTCAGCTCAGTATCCCACCACCCCGGATTTAATCTTGTTTGTGTATCGTTTCGTTCCTTCAATAAATGCTTTGTCTTCATGAGGATATGGTGAGTAGAGCTTCTGTACAAGAGAAATCACACTTTATGTTAGTGTTTAAGTATACTAATTCGCTGCCTATTGCACACCGTCTCTTCTGAAGGTCCTAGATTTAAACCCTGTTCTGTCAGCTCATCTAGGCTTGGTTGAAATTCTCCATGCCCCAGTTCAATACCACATCAATCCTACTGGAACCTTATGTGATTCTCGTACCCATCTCCTATCTCCGACACCCTGTTCCAGAAAATGGACTGCAAATTCTGGAATTCACTCATTCTCTTCATCACAGTAGGGTGTGATAAATAACAATGCACTAGATTTCGTGCCCCCATTACATACACTTCTTTTTGCTGTGCGCCTATCGCAGAACACAGTATGTATCCGAAAATGGATATTTTTCAAACTCCTGGTAATGCCCGGTAGATAGTTTGAAGCTTGAGTTTTGCTTCGTTTTCCGCTCAGACGTCGTCGCAAGCGTAAGCGGGCAACCTACTGAGCAATGCGAACTCCCACCGAGGCAAGTCAATCAATCGACCGATTCATTAAGCTTTTAGTCCCATCGATCTGTGAGAACATCGTGCTGTGAGTGTTCAAATTCCTTCTTCAACATTCAGATTGGTGTCTGACTGATTATTCCAATTCCATTGACACCTTGTCAGCCAAATACCTGATCAGTCATAGGCTCTTGCTCGTTCTAATCTTTTGTTTGTCCAAAACCAAAATCATTTCTTATTGTTCTGTTTCACGTTTCTCGTAGTTCAATTTTGTTGGTCGTATCCTGGGCCCGGATGGATCAACCGCGAAATGTCTTCAACAATGTCTGGGTGTTAAGATAATGGTTCGTGGACGTGGTTCAATGCGCGATCGAAAGAAAGTAAGTGGTTTGCTCTGTTCTCGGAAACAGTGCATCTTCTTCACGGAAAGCCAATTCCACGAGATGTGTTTCTTTGTAAGCACTTAATGGGAATGAAATGTCTGATAATTCACTGGTGATATCTTTGTTTTTCTTTGTTGGTTTGAACAGGACCACAGTACACATTGCATCTGTAGCATAATGATGAACAACCTCGATTTCAATGATTCGAAATCATGCGAACGAATCCCTGTATATTGATTCACAATGATCGCATACAATCGCCAAGATTATTGGAGTTGTATATGTGTGTGTTGGGGGGGGGAGAGGACGAGAAAGGGAAGCTTAAGCACCTGCGAAAACTTTTGAGGCANAGGCACACAGAGGCAAGTAGTAAGAACAAATTCCGGTTTTGATAGACTCTGAGAAGTCAAACTCATTAGGCCAACTGATATTGAACTCCTTTTCGTTTAAGCTGCAAATACCTAGGGATGGCTTTTCTGAATGTTCACTAATAAAGTACAAGTAAGTTTCGTCCCGGAAATACCTTCTTTATCTTCGGTAACCCGTGGACTGAAAACTAATAATATAGTGAACCGATCACATTACTTTTCAGTCACACAGGGTGGTTCCACGAAGCTGTTCGGGTAATCCACTGATCGTGCAGCTCATGCATGTTGTACCACGGTGAAAGCGGATGCCTCTTTGATTGGTGACTTATATGTGTATGTATAATCATGTATTAGTACGAAAACCAGTCACTAGGTACGAGTTCGTTCTTCCTTCTGTTCCATTGATACTTGAATGACTTCATGGTTTGAAGATTACAACGTAAGCCGTTACGCACTATTTACAAAAGCCACAATGCTGTAGGATACGTGTTTTGGGTGTGGGTACACTATCAACCTGACTCAGTTTGAATTGCTCCAGAATTGCCGTGCGACTGTTGGAAATGTACTGTACACCGTGACATCATTCTTGATAAATCAGTCATCCGGATGATAGATAGATCGATTGAGAGGCTGTGTCAGGAATATATTCAAGTTGACGCTTATCACATTTGGATCGGTTCCCCTGGATTCTGAATAGCTAACTGATTGAATTGTGTTGCACTGCAGACTTTTTACAATTTCCTAACGTTGTCAACTGTGAATTTTACTGTCTGTCTCAAGCACACTCACCGGTTTCAGTGACGCGAATGCGCAATGCAATGGATCGGTGTGTCGCCATGATCGGCATACAAGGTTCGAAAATAGGCTTCGTATCAATGTTTAAACGAATCCTATGTCTTTTTCTCGCTATACCGATCTGCTGACGGTGGTGATTACTGCTCCCGTCAAGTGAAATTACCTAGCACATATAAATGATGGTCAGATTGCGCGAAAAAAAGAAAATCACACTGATATTGGAACTGGGGCAATTCTGTGCAAACAACTCTGATCTGGTTGTGTGTGAGTATACAGTGTGTGCATACACGCATCTTAATTGTCTCTATTCAGGTCAATGAGTGAGTGAGTTTATGTTGTCTTGGTTTAGTGTTGCACGCACCTAGGATTACTCTGTGTGTGTGTGTGTGCGCGCACGAGGGATCTCAGGTCGATGCCAATCAAGGTCGTTCCTTGTACGCTAAGCAGTAAAAAGAGAGTTAGTCCTTCATGATCGGGAGGTCATCCCTACTTGCCAATACACGTTTACCTGGAAGAAAGTTCCGGAAGACCGGTGCGGGCTCGACGAGGCCTGTTTATTACGAACTAAAGTTAGGGTATGGATAATTTGGCGTACAAGGTAACCAGGTATCTCATTTTGAACATGTCATCATGATTCCCGACACAATACAGGATAATCAATACAAAAAGCCGTATTTATCGTTTCGAACACAGCAATTCGCTCTAGGAGATCTTGTTCATTTTTGACTGTTAGCGGAAACCGCCTACCGCCTCCTTTTGTGTACCACTTGCAAATGCGAGTAGTATCTTACAACACTGGTACTCGTCCTAGGCCACATTCTTTGTAAATCTCCGTGTGTTTCGGGAAAGTGCAGAAAAGCGAGTGAATGGTTGCTGGGTGCAAACGGTCGTATTTCTGTTATAGTTAAAAGTCAAAGTCGGGTAAAGTACTGCGAGATTATGCCTAAGGGAAATTAAAATACAGAGGTATTTTTGACAATCATCTGAATTCCCGGGTTCAGCCGCATGGAAACCAAAGCTCACGGTCACATAATGCACATGAACACCATTTCACCTCTAAAGTGTATTTTAATTTGCACTGAACATCCTTCAACGTTTTTCTTCTCGCCAACCATATACTCGGAGAGAATCGAACTTGAGTATCGCTCTTGTCAAAACCCATGCGTAGTGTAAATCCATCAACTCGTCCGGGATTTGAAATCCAAACCCCTCGCATGAAATATGTGTGAGTTGCCACTACGCGAATCAGTTCAGCAAAGTTACCAATTCAAGCTTGTTCAGGTCTCATCTTCATCGCCGATGGGTGGTGGTGGTGGTGGTGCAGTGGTTTAGTCACTGTCACTGGCGTGCTTTGGTCTGAGGTTCAAGCCCCACCACCGCCAACCACATTTGGTGTTAGGCAGCTTTGCTGTCATCCGGTTCAATATCACGCCTTGCCTAGCGGGGCCTTATGTGGTTTGCCACTCCAAGTCTGGGTTACCGGTTTCCATGACTGAACAGCAGGTTTTCGTGACTATGGGGTTCGTCTCATCTGCCCAAATGTGTGTAATAAACTATCTGTTCATTCTAGCCCGATAAGAAAGGAAGGGGATATAGTTGACATTATGTCAAGTGCATTCGAATGCCTATGACTAAATCGAACCTTCTATGTGGGCTTGGGGATAATTTATCTTAATTAAGCTTATCCAGATGGTCTGGCCATTTGCCCACCACTACTCGTTTATGGTCTTCTCGTTACCCCATAACATTTCCATTTCCATCCGTGGTTAGTAGATCCATTTTCTACAAAATCATTTTAGAACCCTTTTTGCTAGCGCAGTAGCAGATTGCACGCAGCACATGATGACTGATTCTGTGTGTCTGTCTCCACGGGTGTCAATCACCGAGCCATTATGAACAGCAACTCAATGAATTAGATACTTTGTGTCAACCGGGTGCTTTCATGAGATGGGTATTTGTTGCCAGAAAAGATAAGTTCAAACTGCTTGGTGATACTCTCATAATTTTGCATCACATGTGTGAACAAATCGCTGTGTGAGAGTGTAACGGTAAACCTACACCTGAAGCCAAGACATTCGTGACCACTCTAACCCCGGCACCAAGTCTATCCCTAATTTAGTCCATTCGTATTAAACCGTTTTATCTAAAAAAATTAAGGTAAATATGTTGTGTGAATGAGTTTACGATTGAGTACGAAAGTTTTAGCGGAGTAAATGTCTGGACTCTTTTTCACGTACTCCTGGTTGTTGATTAGGTGAATCTGGGTCAAAATTACCAAACCAGCTTGTACCTGACCTTGAAAGGTCAGTTGAAATGAGTCTTGACGAGATAGATGAACACAGTCATTGCGAGACTCGAGCAAATATGTAATGGCCGTAGACGGTGCATGCAGAACTCCGAGAGGGTCATCCAGGACCCAATTTAGCAACATTTCAATGCGGCCAGTTTTCATTATCAACTTCGGTGGTTTTTTATGAACGAAAAACGCTATATTGTTTGCTTAATTTGTCGAATATCGAGTAGGCTATAAGTTAAACACCGAACCTCCGGGTCAGTTTCACTTTTTTATGAGGTTTGGCCTTTGGAAAAAAAATTAAACAAGACGTACGGTCCTTGTTCGCAATCACCAGTCGCACTCAAACAGTGTCTGATGTCCCAATTTCTTGTGTTTACTGACCAGTTCAACTTGTTCTCCTCTCAGCATTGTATTTCGTACTGTGGGAGAGTGATTTTTATCCCGTCGGTATCCAAGACGGTTTGTTTGCGCGTTTGTTGGCTGGAAAGTTCCTGAGAAGATTCTATTCACTGAACTCACCTGATTCCACTCAATTTGTCCGTTTTAGATCCTACTCAACCTTTGATGCACTCACTGGCATCCGTCGTTCATTGTTTCCTCTCCCTTGAATCCTAAATGTAAAACAGTTCGACTGTGCCTGTTTAACTACAATGACATCTTCAGTTTTGTTCGAAGGACGACACTTCTTGGTACTCCCTCTGAGAAGGGTATTCAGCCGCCCGTGATCAATCTACTATGTAATTACCTCACTCATTGATGGCAGTTTACTAAATGCAAGTTGCAGAATTCTTCGCTTCTATCATTTACTCAAACAGTTCTTCAGTGTGTTGCTCTGTCCTTCTTTCTTTTGTCTACTTATATTTCATCGATGCCTTTGTTGGCAATTGTCTACCCGTTAAATATGCGGATGATGTTGCCTATTTTATGAAAATTGTGATTTCCCTCGTGTACTCCGAACCTAAGAGTAGCATTTCACCGCTTGCCAACTAATCCTCACGTCTCAGGCTTTCAGTGAACTCTTTCAAGCATACGGATGTCTTATTGTCCTTGCTAGAGGGCAACAGATATATGGATATAATGAACTCTAGTTAGCACCTCTTTATTAAAAGAGAACAAGTTTACGGACAGTAATCTGTCGAATAGATGGAAGTCACCGCTTACCGTGATCTTTGATGGTCTCTCCATGTCTTTGAGACATTTCACAAAGTCCGGAACCTCACCTTTTCGATTCTTCGATTCTGTCTCAAGCTGCTATCCAAAACGTTTTATCTTCTCTCATTTCCCCCTTCACTGGCTTTATGCATCCCAATTTATCATCCCCGGTCTTCTTATCGAACACTTCAGAGTCGTACTTACATAACCAGAATATATTGAAACAGTAGTGCGTCTTGTGAACGTATTGTGCAGTTTTGAATTTCACGACATTTTAATTCTTGCTTCATTCTGCTTAAACTATTTTACCCTTCGCACTCGTAGCTCAGTAGATTCACTTCTACGATTGCCCCTTTAAATAAAAGCTCATCGCAATATGCAGAACAGTATACATGACTTCTGTAATACCGTACCTTACACGGTTTCTTCCAAACACCAACCCTATGGTTGAAAGCTTTATGTTGCGAACTTTACTGAGTTTTTGTTCTTCACTCTTGTATGCACAGTTTCATTTTGCTATTTGCCTCTGTCGCACTATTTATTTTGCTACAGAATTAGAGCGATTTCTTGACTTGACTTAATTTTGCAGAAGGTGAATTATTCACGCATATGTGTGGAGGAATAGGGGAAACATATGGTGAAACTTCCTCGTTTAAAACCCTCCCTGCTCCTGAGTTTTATTCTTTGCCGTCTTGTGGGATTTAGCTTCTTTGCGCATAAACCTCTCTTCTCAACTGCTGTTCATCACTATTCCTCTTTTCACTTGGCGGTGGTCGCATCACTCCCAACATCCCCACTGAAATCAACAATTGGATTTTTATCAGTTTGCAGTTTGCTGACCTTGTCAGCCTTCTGCACCCGTTGACTGCTTCGCACCATGTTCCATTGACAAACGTTGGGTACATTGTTCATCGACTGGAAGAATTTACAGTACATATTCGTTGAGAAGACAAAGCAAGAGATTCCTCAGCTGATCAACCGGATAATCCATAGATGAACGGACGTCAATTTATGAATTTCCATTCCCGTTGCCGAACCGTAAACCCTTTATCTCCTGATTTGTGCTTTAACTGATCATTCTTCCAACTCTACCTTCAAGCCGAATCCTTAGGTTGTCCAGTCATTCACATCCTCGAGTAGCACTATGCATCACCTCGAGTTTATCATTCGTTAGAGCTCATCCGTGGTGCACACACACACATACTATAAGTTAATGGAATACTTCCAGGGTTTAGGATAAACTTACTCACCGCGTTATGTTCCTGATCAACCACATGGAAGGTTTTATCATCGGATTGCGATTGCATTCGTGGTAGGTCGGATACCACCACGAACCTCTCTTAACAATCTGTCCTTCATCAAATTTGATGAGTTCATCGTGTAAATGAGACGTGAACTGAAAAGTCAGAAAGCATTGGACAGTTGTTTCGCTCTGATGCGGTCTCATCGGCAGTGCGCGAATTGATCAACGTGAGGATCGCCAACACGGGACCTAACAGGGAGAACGCAAGCAAACTACCCAATGAGGCATCGGAGAGCTGCTCAGACCGTTGCAGTCTGAACAAAATGATTCACGTACGTGACAGATCGATCAAATGAGTTCTTCGTTGTTCTTCGATCCAGCCAACTGAGATGGTGTTTTCCAATGCTACCGACCACATGCTTGGTGAATGGACCCCCTCAAAGCGTACTACTTTGTTGTTCTTTTTTGAATTCCGGTCAACTATGCAATATCATAAATCAACATGTATTCACAAGGGATTTATTTTTTCCCGAGCGTTCTTGTTTGCGTTTTAGGACCTCGAATCTTTGTAATCAGTGGTTCGAAACATTGAACTGTAAGACTGAGTGTCGTAATCAGTGGCTTTTTTT